ACACGGTATATCGCATTCATCGTCCTGTACTCATTAATAAACAACCGGAATGGAGATATCGTGTAAAGTAATTGAAAAAACTACTTAAAATTTTCCTTCAGTACATTAAACTCTTTTAAAATTCGGCTATAAATCGCCACAAGTGCATTTTATGTGTACTGTAGTCTAAACAGTACAAGAATAAGCTCAGATTACTGGGTTAATAAAATTGACAGATCACAGGCATTTTAATTTTCTAAATGTCGAACGAGTGGCCTTGTTAACGGGGTGAAATTTTAAGAGATTCTACTGTTTGGGATTTTAAAATGTGGCCGTTGACGGTATTAACGGGTGACCGCATTAACGGCGGTTTTTTGTAAGGAAATGTATGGTCGTATTGCAGGACCGAAAAAAACTGGCCGTAATAACGAGGTGACCGTATTATCTAGGTGGCCGTAAGGCGAGGTTCCACTGTACTAGTGTAGCGGAGCTCATTTCTCACTTATGATCAAGTTTACTAAACTTGAGTTAGGTTTGGATTATTTTGGAAAAGGAAATGATGCATCGAATTATAACAGAAAATATGGATAAGGTGTTTTATTAGTGCCTGGATTTTACATCTATTTGCTTTGCCAAAATATAAGGAAAAATAAGGTTATTACACAAATAAAAAGGGTGTTTAATAAACCTGATCAGTTTTCAAGTGTTTTATTACTGATTCGAGTCAGCCTTGCTTCGCCTAGCCGCCTGAGAAAACAGCCGACATTTCGCAAGGCCACCACGTCTGAGAAACGAGTGCAGAAATTCCATATTGATGACGTGTTACTACCCTTCCCTGGGTAGTGAAGTATCATCAGTATGGAATTTCTTTCCTTGCGTACGTTTCCCATACGTCATTTCACGGGGAAACCAGTGGCAGTGTCGCGAAATGTCGGCTGTTTTCTCAGGCTTCGCCTTTCGCAATTAACCGTGATTTAAAAAGTCTTTACAAAAGTTCCAGTTAAATAATAATGATGATGAAAAAAATAATAATAATAAAAAGTAACTAAACGTATGCTGAATAAGTGTCACCTTTAAATTTGTGAACACGGATTATCCCTGAGTGAAGAAAAATCTATCTATCGGAACGTTTACGACTCTCCGCCCATGCGTATGAGTTTCCAATCTAATCAATCTAATAAAAACCACAAGGTTACATCTATTGTTTTTAAATTGATAAAACACTACTCCCAGTGTTTTTGCTGCAGAGCGAGCGCAGCGAGCTAGCAGCAACATAATCTGGATTCAAGAATAAGATTATAATTAATTCTCGAATTCATCACTTTTTACTAGTATGCATTGCAATTAACCAGACTGTACTGCGCCACGAACAACTCAAATAAAACACAAGGACGTACCTAGTAGTCAAAGTTCCTTTTCGCATGGATTTCGTGAAAACGGTGGGTGTGTTGTGTGGCGGTGATTCAGCGCACGAATTTCACATCCCCGTTTACGTTCCAAATCCGGTATGCGAACGTTTTCTGAATCCGGACAGATTAATTTTTAAGTTACATCATTCGCTTCTTTCCCGCAGGCAATTCTGCTGAGTTCTGACTTCTGAACAAAAAGGTGAGTGCTGTCGTCTTGCTTTCTCCTTTACATCAGGTGGTATTGATTGTAGACGAATTTCACATCCCCCGTTTACGTTCCAAATCCAGTATACGAAAACAGTTTGTGAATCTGGACAGATTTTAATGCACCAATCAATGATTTGCCCCAGGCTAGGATGGGCGGGGGGGTGGTGGGGTGGTGGGTCGTCAATCTATGGGAATTTGACATCCTGAACGTCCCCAGGGTGGAAAATTTGACCCAGCCGCCATCTTAGAGACAACCTGCGAATCGGTGATAAGTGGTCCGCCATCTTAGAAAGTACCTAGTAGTCATTAGGATGCGTTTCCCGCGTTTCGACGCGTTCTTTCCCTCGTGAAGGATGGCAGAATGAAAGTTACGAGTATCTTGTTGCTTTTTAAGCACAAAATCAGTGATCCATATTTGAAGTTTTATGACAAAAGTGTTTTGTCACCCAGCTTTGAGAAGAAATATTCATACAAAACCTCATATCAAAATAGGCTTTCTACTTACATGTTTTCACTAGATGCCGCCCTGCCTCAAGGTTTTTTCGATATATATTGAAAGATAAAAGAAATCATATGTACAGACATGAAATAGTCCCGGAATTCTGTGTTGGATTTGCTATCATACTCCAAATGTCCAATTAAATAAAATACTGGACCTGATCAATTACAAACATCAACCCCTCTTGGTGATAACATGTTGTGGTATTGTACATTTTGTATTGCCGTAAACGCAATGTAAAACAATTCACAGGTACTTTCGGAAGTATAGAATGTGTGTTAAATTGCCAACCTCTATCAGAAATGTGCCAAAGATTCTGAAGTTTAAGCTTAATCTGGGAAGATAAGGGGAATGGAATTTAAATTTGCCTACATTGAAAAGTCACGGCATTCTTGCTACATTGGGTACTCGGTGAGCAGCGAGAGTTCATCTGAGGCTATGTTCACACAATATCGGATAGCTTTCCGTGGCGCCAAGGGGAGCTAGAGAGGTGTTCCATTGTATCCATTACTTAGGCTTCTGTTCGCGCTATACTAGATAGCTGTTGCCCCGCCACAAAAATCATATCGGATATGGGTTCTATTCACAAGCAAGAGCAGCTGTGGCCGTGCGATTTCTGTGACGCAGCGAGGGTGTGCCGCGCCAATCTCGAAAGTGGAGCGTCACATATCGGATAGGTTTTGCGGCATACTTTGGTGCAGTGTGAACACCCATTCGGCCCGTCACTAAAGTAAATAAGTAGTAGCGAGGCCTGGAACCCTGTGGGGCGGAAGTAAATAATAAAGAGTGAGGACTGGAATTTAGTGCGCCAAAACCTATCGGCCAACCACGCCGGCGCGATGTTCGCCGCGTGTGAACGACTTTCCGCCGCCAAGGGTAGTTGCTGCTCATACTATACCAAGTAGCTTTTCGTGGCGCTATGTGTGAACATAGCCTTAGATGAACTCTCGCTGCTCACCGAGTACCCAATGTAGCAAGAAGACTGTGACTTTTCAATGTAGACAAATTTAAATTCCACTAATATTTGCCTTATCTTCCTAGACTGAGTTTAAACTTCAGAAGCTTTGCCTGACATTTCTGATAGGTATTTAGCGTGGTTGGCAGTTTAACACACATTCATTCAGGGGTCTAGAGTCTATAGTCTAGTAAAGCGAAGAGAAAAAAAGGGCATTTATTCATCACGCCGCTTAACTTTGCACTGCTTATACCCCGTTGTGTGTACGCTCACAACAGGACATGATAGTGGTGAGGGCCTTAAATAGGGTTTCCAAATCCCGCTTCCTACCACTATTAATGTTTTTCATCCCGCTATCCCGCTTGCTTCGGACGTGTCATCCCGATACCGCTTTCAGAATTCTGTGTTTGCATGACAGTCGAAGTCCTTTTAGCCTGCGTTTGGAAAACTATTGCCAAGCAGTCTAAAGCTCTTTTTCCACAAGAGACGCGGTTTTCGCGGGTTAGGGGTGGGGTTAGCTCTAGTATTAGTTCAATGTAAACAGCAGCAGTGAGTTTAGTTTGGTAAATTTGTCCTCTTTTGGATAATCATTTAGGAATCAAAGAAAAGTTTTCTTTTCCCGGAGAACAGCACGTGGAACAATGCGAAGGTTCTCCTTCATACACCAAACTGAAAAACAGGGAGTTGTCAACACAAACAAGCAAAATTGGAAAATGTATCTACGCCAAGATTTATTTAGATGTGTCGTCCTTACATACGACCTTCTATAGGAGTGAATAAATATTTACAAACTCGCGCTTGAATAAATATGTACAACGTTTGCCGGCTAACAGTGGAAACGATTGTAGTATGTCTTAAACAGATGCTGTTAGACAGTTAAACTATTATTCCAGCATTTTTTCCTGATACCTACACTAGAGGACAATGCAATGAAATGGTAGAAATATTAAACGCGTGTTTTAAAAGCCTCTTAGGGCGCCGGCCAAACCGCGATGTCACACCCACCAAAAAGTTGACGATTGACTAGTGACTGAGCTGAAACAGGTTGTCACTTTCTTCTGCAGGAAGATTTTCTTCAGGCACTTCCTCGTCACTACTCGCTTCGTTCATCTGACTATAATGTCAGGTTCAGCAGGTTCAGGGGTAAGAAGAAACATCGCCCGCTAGGTGCCGGCTAATCACAAAGAAATTGCGATGATGCAAAAGCGGGAAGGCCTATAGTGCCTTAGTGAGGTAGAGAAGCATAAGGCCAGAGACAACAAGGAGATGCAGCCAGTGAGTGAAAAGCCAACGCCGGAGTCGACATGTACATGAGCAGGAATGTCGAAGAGGCCGCACGACCGTTCAGGAAGCGGATACTATGTTCCTTGACCATGTTATGCGCCGATTCCTATTTTTCTTTCGCCAGCGGTCTTTGCCATTTTTTAACGGTCTATACCACCATTGGTAACCAAGCCTTTAGTCATGATAGACCATCCGACCAACTGTAGACGTCATATATTCCTTGGATTAAGTTACTCTAAGGCAAATAAGACGTTTTTCAAAAGCTTTAGAAAGAAGGACGTTGAAGCCCAAGTTGATTTTTCGTTAAAAGTTAATTACGAAAAGGGCTAGGGTCACCTGTTATTGATGTAACAGTTAAGAAGGACACTTTGCTAGTGTATGTACTTGAATTTTTCGGAATTTTGGCGGGTCGGTGTTGTATTAGGTTGTAAGAGGGAGAGATTAGGATACTAAGGTTCGGGTTCGAGGCCCAGGTTTGACCCTGGGTTGCGATTTTCTTTCTTTTTCATAGAAACATTCTTAATATCAAGTCAAAAATTTTCCAAGTATCTTAAAAATTGCAGCGACCGTCGACGAAAGGGGCAACTTCTACGCCGAATAGGAAGTTATCGTTTTAGCCCCTTCTTAGCCGTTTTCCTAACTAAGAATATTGTAACACGGTGGTGACCTATTTCTTGTGATGAACAAAAACGTGCAGATTCTCCATGTCAAGGGTCATACAACTCAAGAAATTCGTGTTGTTGTAGGAAAATTGTTCCATATTTGTTGGAAATGTTCCAAGTCCCATCGTAGTAGCAACACCTCCATGAGGAACATTCAAAGTCTGTGGCAGAACGCACTCCATGTATATGTTTCTGATGGATGATACATTCTCCTTCAAAAAAGGAAGACAGTCCCCAGCTCTTAAAATGGCTGTTGGTAGATTGTACCGGCTGAATTCTTCCTGCTTTCCATGAACAGGAAAAAAAAGCCGAATGAAGGCTAAAAAGCATCAACAACTCAAAGAAGTCAGGCTATTTTTAATTTCTAAGCTTTGTGAAAATCTTAAGGCAACTCCTTTGCTTTCCAAGGACAGACCGTAGTGGTTTGGAAAAATTAGGATTGTTTACGCTGTTCCATTACATTACCTGCAATACTCCACCTGCGGACGTTTCAATCTTTTCTCCATATAACCATAATTTCAGCGGTCTACTATTCTCAGGATCATAGAATGTGATTCCTCCTTCATGTAAAGCAACAGTATGAGGAGCTGCGCAAAGGCTTGATTCAGAATGTACATGACATGCGCGGTCTTAAAATCAGACAAAAAAAGACACTTTTATTTAAAAGATGCAGAACTGATTTCAGATTTCACCTATGTAAACTTCCAGACTAGATTTTCTTCACGAAATCGTGAAATATTCTAGTGTATTGTCACTATCTATCCTGTTTCCCGCCCGGAAAAAATCAAGATTTCCCGCGACCCGCCATGAAAATGACGAACTTCCCGCATCCCGCCCTTAAATTTTCTTTCATCCCGCATCCCACTAGCTAAAAACCGCTCCCGCCAACTCTATGTTAGGTTCGCAGTGGTGCGAATCGAACGCACGGTCTCCGGCCGGATTACCCAAGCGTTGCTGTAGTCGAGACGTCACAATCCTTTAATGATTAAATAAAAAAATCTAGTATATTCACCCACAGAACACGTAGGAGCTCTGAGGGAGTCTTTGAAAGTCATTGTATGCTCCATATATATGGAATTTGGTTCGGCCATCGTCCAGTACGGCACCCACGAGAAACAGTATTTTAAAAAATGTCTTTTTCTTTTAGTTTGTTTACTTGTTTGTTTCTTTGTTTGTTGATTAACCTGTTAAAAAGCCTATAGTCGAGTTGTCAACGAAGATACTGATTTCGTTCTATTTCAGTGAAACTCACCACCTTAATTTTTCTACTGCCCGCTAACTCACTTTTAAAGAGAATTTTTTTTAAAGATAATTTTAGTTCCTATGTACTTGGCGTAGGCAAATTGCTTTCATTTTCGAGGTCTCGAGCCATTATAAGGAGTCTAATCGTTTTCAGTTTTTGTCACTTCTTCAACAACAGCTAGCAGCCAGAAAGCAACATTTCTCACTTCCGGGCAAACTTATAGACGATGTTGGCTTGTTCGTTTGTCTTCGTTTCTCATCTCTTTCTTCTCTTGAGCGTAAAAACAGGTTAGTCAACAGAACGCAACAGCATCAGGGGCACCCAACGAGGATATAGTTCAAAACCACTAAACATAGCATTGTTAAACGTATTTTAGTATTTAAACGGTAGATTTAGACATAATTTTAACCCCCAAACGTTTTTCATCTGCTCGGATTTCCTAGCTGAAAGTCTAGTGATCCGAAAATTATAGGGGTCAAAACTTACCTTTTCGAAAATATCAGCCGGAAAAAAGGCTCCCGAAAATTCTAGGTGACCTTTTTAGGGTAAAAATTCGTTAGAAATGGTCAATTATAAGTCGCCTCTGTAAGAGTAAAGAAACTTAGCAATGCAAATTTGTTAGCGTCAAGGCATATAAAAGGGGAAAAGACCTCACTTCCGGTTGACATGTGTCGCTCAAAACGTCTTTGCTTCAGGGGCACCCAGCGACTTTTTCCTGTAAAATAACTGTTCAAAGGAGAAAATATTGCCTAAAAATTTCTAAAGCTTGAGGAAAGCTTAAAAAGTCTGGATAACCATTCCATTCGTCTAAAAGATTCGGAGGTTTTCTGATAGCCTGACTACGATTTTCGGAGGTTGTGTTATTCACATTTTAATACTAGAAAGCGATTATTGTTTAAAAAGGTCTCCTAAAAATTTCGGTATAAAGGCAAAACGTCCCCTCAAAACTTCGACCGGACCTATAAGGGTAGCTAACACTTTCGGATGAGATACGAAAAAGCCACCTAAGACTTTCTTGAATACCAAAGTTCGCCTAAGACAAATAGTTAGGACAACTCCAAAATAACCAAACAGGCTTCTAAAGCACAGAGAAAACCAGTTGAGACACTTCTGGCGTATTTGGAAACATTCGGTCGTTGGGTGCCCCTGTTGCTTCTACTTAGTGCACTCTTTCTTTTTTATAAGAATATATTTTGTAAGAATATCGACGCTGAAATTTGCGAAATTTTAAGAATATTTTAAGAATAAACCTGAGGCTGAAATTGTGAAAAGAATATAATTTCGTGCGAAAATCTGTAAACACAATACAATGATATGTTTTCACTTAACTGTATAAAATTATTCCTTTCTCTAAACGGCAAAACTAGCCAACAAACGAAACACTCTTTACTAGCGAGAGCAAAATGTTCAATGATGAGAGGAACATGTAATGTATTTGTGCAGTACGAAATATGTACGATACAAAAGACATGAACTGAACCGCAAACGTACCCCAATACATCCTTAAACGGAAATGTCATAAGCTATAATTAACAATATTACAAGATTATTTTCAGCCTAAAATCGGCAGAAAAATAGGAATATTCAGCCTGGGCCGGAAAAACAATATTCTTATAAAAAAGAAAGAGTGTATTGAGAAAATCTCGTTCCCGTGTAGTCATCTTCGTCTTAGAATCCAAAGGTCTTGTTTATTAACTCACTGTTAATAAAGCCAACTTTTTTTACGCTGCCCTCTTCCATCATATATTCGTCCCTTTTATTCATTTGTTGTTTAGAGGGACGTTTACACTGGGTTTCTTTTTCGAATTAAAAAAAGAAAAGGAAAGAAAATTATTTTCTTGAATTTTTCTCTTGATGGGATTAAACCTTCATCATCTCCCAGTGGTGATTAAAGCTCAAATGAAACAAAACTGCAAATTTTGAATTGCCAAATCCTGAAGGCAAATAATTAAAGAGATGGTATTGGATTGGTTACGCTATTGGATTTTGTCCAAAGATTCGAAAGTTCGAAGTACATTAAAAATTTTCATAACCGACCCCCGTAGGGAAGGATTTTAGGGATATTTTCCTTTCGAATGATCATTTGGAAATGTGTATTTATCATTCCTTGCTCTTCTAACATCTTGAGAGGTTGAGAAGGCAAGTACTCCGCACCTTAGACTCATCAAGACCGTAGCTCGACTTTTAGAACATATACAAAGCAAGTGTTGTCACTGGTAGCCCAAGCTCGAAATATGAGCATCGGCGAACAACGGCATTGTTGCGTAACATAAATATAAAGGTTAAACCTTTATATATAGAGAAAACCATTTCCATAAAAACCTATAAAACGGCCATAAAACGGCCCGTGGACCACACAGGAGAGACGTAACACACATTTTAAGTCAAAAAGCTGTTTTTTATTGAAATCCTTTCATTTTCGTAGGTTACAGAAACGATAGGTTTTTGTCCCATACGAATCCTTATATTTTGAATGTTACGCAACACTGCCGATGCTCCCCGATGCTCATATTTCGAGCTTGGGCTGCCTGTGAGATAACGAATGGAAAGGCTGGAAAGGAGAACTATCGTGTGTTACCTAGGTGGAATTTGAAGGCGACTGGAGCATTTGTAGCGACGTTACGGCCGTTTTCCTTCGGTGGATCAGTCGAGCCGCTTCGCTGGAGAGCCCAACCTTGGTGGCTTTATATAGAGAGAAAACAGAAACGATAGGTTTTTTTCCCACACAAATCTTTATATTTCGAATGTTACGCAACAATGCCGATGTTCGCCGATGCTCATATTTCGAGCTTGGGCTACCTGTGGTGTTGTAAGCACAAAATGCAAGAGCAACTATTGGGCTGTTGGCATGCGACCACACTAGCCTCTCTTGCAAGGGAAACCTAGACGGGAAAACTGCTTTGTCTTGTCTTATACTAAGCGCTGCTACATTTTTGTAGGGCAAGCTGGGCTCGGTCAATCTAGAAAACAATAGTTGATGTGATAACGTGCAGGAAAGTTTAAAAGTAAATTCATGAGTTTCTTTGCTACAGTCTGGAAAGTTCTTTCACTATAGCTTAATCATTTTTGGCGTGGAAGTAACCAAAATGGCCGCTATGATGCTGAATTCGCTTTCTTTTGATCATATTAATTGGAAAACGTCCAGACGGCGGTTAACTGAGAACTCGGCCGCAGAAACCAAGATCTTGCACATTGAATTTTTAACACAAGGGGCTTGGAAAGGAAAACAGCCCTTGAAAGGGACGGCCCTGCCCAATGAGACTTTGTTTAACCATTCTTACAAGGGGAACATGCTATTGAACATTGATTGAACATTTGACTGTCTTTCCAATGTTTACAGGATGCCTCGAGTATCAAAGAACTGTCCACGTTTCTTTACGCGGAAACGACAGCAAACGTTGTGGCTCCATTAAAAAGCCCTGTCGCACGATAACAAAGGCTGTTACCCGCGTGTCCTGGGACGGATGGTTATCCTGGACGGCAGTGGTACAGCAAAGCAACCATATGACTGCGCACAGTTAACCACGAGGGCCCATCATCCGGGAATCCGGGTAACAAGAAGCATCACAATGACCAGCTTACCATCAACAGAAGCCCACGTGACCTGTCCAAAAGGGTTTTATTTTCATGGATCAAACGAGTCTTTTCGTATGTCGTTAAGCGGCTTATCGTTCTCAAAAACGACTTTAAAATTTAAAGACTGTGGCGACGTGGAGATCATCAACTGTACTCTTCGAAAAAGGCATAGCGATAAAACTGCAGGGGAATCAGCCGTTGTTATTTGTGCCCAAAACATTTCGAAAGTAAATGTAACTATTCGAGACTCTGTCTTTCAAAACAACTCCCTGTGTGTTAGAATCAACTTTGAACAACGATCTCTCAAGAAAGACAGACTCTTTTCATTAAATGTGACCAAAACAAAGTTTTTGGAAAATGGCTTCCACACACAGTCCCCTGAAAGGGGTGCTATAGTGTTTTCAACGAATGAAGCACTGAAGAAATTCTCTCAAACTATTTATCTGCAAATAACGATGAATGAGGTTCATTGCACTGGGGGCGGAGGTCATTTCTTGGATGTTGATTTGCCCACTGCTGTAACGACAGAAGCGTACCATAACATTAATTTTGAGCGCAATCATTTTATGACTTCCCGCAGCCTCTACTATTCCAGAGTGAGTAGGGCCACAGTCGCTTTTGTTGGTTTGCAGTGTGTAAATAACTCTGAAGTAAGATGTATCACGGTTCAAAGCTTTACAAACGCAAATAGAACGATCGACTTAAAAGTTAATGGGTCCCGCTTCTACAAGAGTACAACGAATCAAGCCCCGACATTGCATGTTACAGGAATTACAGCTCAGTCTGGAACAATTTACATCTTCAATACATCGTTTGTTCGTTCCGAAGTTGCAGTTAGCTTTACGTCGAATTTTAAAGTTCACTTTGAAGCTGTAACTGTGATTTCATCGTTACATGCGGTCCGAATTGTCGTATATGATAAGACTGGAATGAACGACAGCAATTTTTGTTTATATGCGAGCTTTAACAACTGTACATTTCGAAATAATTTAATGGACGTGTTTGGTTTGCTAAACAAAACTATCCGAGTTTATCTTAGAGTAACCAACACCGTTTTTGACGGCAAAGAAATACAAGAAAAACACGCGAAGAAGGATACATTTGGTATTCGCATCATCATCCCCCTTCTAGACAGTCAGACACCTTCGAAAGTAAACGTTGAAATAGAAAATGCAACCTTTGCAGGTCGACCAACTAATGCCTTTGTGTTTGTTGCCAAGGGAAACAAGACGATCACTCTGCGAGGCTGCAAGTTCCTTGACAGTTTCGGTCTAGAAAAGAACGAGTGGATAATGAGAAAATACAAAAATTTGCCAGGGTATATGACTGGCCAGGGAGCGTTTCTTTTTCTTTTCGACTCCGATAAACTGGTAGACACAGGATGTGTTAAAGGAGGGGAGAGAAACGACACCCATGCCCAATGGATTTACAACAGTAGTGTCCTTGTTGAAAACACGCTATTTCAAAACAACTTTGGGTGTGAGGCGGGTGCGATTCAAATCATTAACGGTTATGTTAAGTTTCGAAGATGTAATTTCACAGATAATTTTGCC